TGTCAGATTCTCTCATAGGCGTATAACCTCAGTGGGATGCTTTCATCCTCCGACATGGCACCATATGTCCTGACAGATGTTTTTATTGCCCGATGCGACAGCGTAATTTTCAAATCAGAGCCTACACCCTTTGACCTTCCGCCAGCCCCCACCCCGTCCCCCGCACAACCCAGGCATGCTGCCGGAGTGCAACGGCTATCGCATCGGCACCGCAAATCGCGAGACCATCGGTTCGGTTAGATTCGATTTCATTGCGCAGCCGTTGCACCGATGGGTCAGATGTCTTCAACTCCACCACTTCTGTCCAACCCGGCGCGTGGTCATCTTTGGGCAGGTAACGTGTGTATACTCCCACCTCTTCCACGCTGGCCGGACATGTTGGAAGAGGAGACCAAATACTCTCACGAAGAGCTCCCTTGAGCTTCCTGTAGCGAAATTCATACGGAGACAAATGTGGCCATTGTATAATGCGTTGCCGACTGCAAAAGGCCACAAATGTGGCGGAGGCCCTAACACAAGAAATTGCAGGTCTGCACTTTTACCTTCAACGCCTCCCTGTGCGGCATTGCCAGATAAACTTGGCCTCGATGCAAGCCCTCACATTTGCCCGTTTAGGGTCACACTGCCTCCGTGCCTTCTGCGGTTGCCCCAGGAAAGACTGTGTTTTTGGAGAGGATCAGCAACGGTTTCCGCTGATTTTATTTCCCGGCCTCGAGGCAGGCTGCTGCATGGGGCTGTACGCTCGGCTTCATCATTCCCCCCTCCCTCCCATGGCACATGCACTAACATCCTTCCTTCCTGCCTGCCTTCCTAACTCAGTGATTGTGTCATATCGGTCGTTTTACAACCGCAACGCAACAGCGGTTATTACTTTTGTTTCTTTGACGTTATTTTACGATCCAGCCGTTCCTTCCGCGACGCATTATTAGACGTTAAGTGAGTACGGAGGGGGTTGGCCGGGTTAGCCCCGGATCGTCACATGGCTGAGATGGGCACCTTTGAGATCCTGGGTGGGAATTCCGGTGAGATGCCTGTGATTAAGCTGGCTTTTCAAATGTAGTGAGTTGATGGTCGCAACCCCATAGCCAATGACTGCAAAGACAAAGATCCCCCGTATAGCCTTAACAGACTGTTGGGGCAAGTGCTGTTAGCGAGCGCCTATGAAGGCCGGCACGGCACACTAGGAGGTGGGTGGCCAGCACCACGCCTGGTTGTCTTTGTCTCCCCAGCGGCGATGTATACACATCGAACCAGGTGCTCATTTGAGGCTGAGTAGATCTAGGGGAGGTCCAGGACCGGTTCAGGTACTCGTCACTGGTGTTGCCTGTGAGCGGGAATCGAACTCGGGTCGCCAGGCTCGTAGCGCAGCGCGTTAACCGCTACACTACCGCTCCCCACACACACACACACAAAATCTTGTTAAACACTCAAGCATGGGCGTCCAGGTGCGGTCTTCTTTCCGATATTAGGAAACCACTGGAGCTATGCACTTTTCAATCATTTGGATTGAAAACTAATTTCTTGAGAACTGCTTTTTTTGTGTTCAGTTTGTTGTCCTTCCCCCGCACCTCCGATTAGCCCGGTGCGAAAGCAGTTCGACGTGCATACATACACAGAGGCATATATATACTGGTGCCGTGGTGTAGTGGTTCGCATACTGCAATTGTAAGAAAAAAACTCAACGCATTCATCAATCGCCAGCTCGATTCAATCTCCCTGAGTGGGAGTTGAAACAACAGTGCAAGTTTCTTAAATCCGTGCGCCTTTGTTCACGCATCAGTAAAACTGGGAATGGCACAGTTAATTGATCACCAGGCTGTGTGTGTGTGATGGGTATGCAGTGTGGGTACACCGACCTCGACCAAACCAGTGTGGGACAAGGCCAAATCCCCTCTACAGTTGCGCTATTGAGATGTCTAGCGGAAGCCCTTTCAGTAGCGGTGGTATGAGCAAGGAATTGCAGTGCTGCACCAATACTTTTTAACATTCGACATATATTCTCTTGTTATACATGGACTGAGATGTGAGATGCCACAAACGTCCAAATAGTATTACAAATGCACACCGCACATATTAACACTGTACATAGATTCCATACGAGTTTTTTTTCTTCTTCCCTTCAGCAAAAGGGTTCATGGCTCAAAACAGGTCTGGGAAACAATCTACAACCCAGGAGATGATGTGCAGGAAGCACCCTTCTCTGCTGCAGTGGAATCTTATCACCTTTTCTGTCCGCCTGTGATAGAGTGCATCATTGTGCAAAGCAATGTCTTAACCTTTACATTACTTTTTTCTCTCTCTCTCTCTCTCAAGCAGGACATCCTCCAGAGTCTCCGGTTCAGCAGAGATCATGGATTGAAGTTGTGAAATTCTTGCAATGTTTCTTATTTGACAAAATCCCCAAATTGACTGCCACAACACATCAAGTGTTATTCAGCTCTGACGTATTGGGCGGTCAAAATTTTACCATTTCCAAAGTGGGGAGGATGATGAGATATTTCTGGATTATACGTCAAAGTGAAAATGTATTATACGATATAATGGTTGCTCGGCACGACTTTCCCCCCAGTGATTGGATGATGTGAGCGCAATAGCTCCGCGTCTTGAAAAGGAGGGTGTGAAAAGATGTAAGAGTTGCATCCAGATTTGTACTAATATGTTGTTTTCTCATTTCTACCTATTATTATTGTGGGGTACATACTGCATACATGGATCATCCTGTGGAATAGAATATGCAATATATAGAATGGTGGACATTTAAGGTAATATACAAAACCTCCTTCTGGCGACCCACTGTTTGCGCTCGCTTTGTCACTGAGTATATACATTACAAAAAATATATATCGTTTGTGTGTCCAGCTGGTGGATTATTGTGGGCTGCTTGCCAACAGTGCACCCGTCTTCGTTTTACTGTGATCAACAACTGCCGAGCTTTTAAAAAGAATAAAACTCCGTGACTTTATGTCGCATTTATGTGTCTGTCAAAAAGCAAAAAGAGAGCACGAAGCCGTGGGGACTCTTGTCTCGTTTCCCCAAGTCGCACAAGCTCGCCCATGAGTGTCGTCTCAGCAGCGGTCTCGTTAATTTTGCCACCAGGAAAATCGTGGTAAAAAAAAAGTTTCACGTTCGAAATATTCGAGGTTACATCATCATATGCAACGTTGTGTTTGTGCCACTCCGCGTACCGTGCTGTAAAGGCAAAGACCCCCGTATAGCCTGTAACAGAGTCGGGGCAAGTGCTGTTCGCGAGCAGCGCCTATGAAGGCCGGCACGGCACACGAGGGGGTGGGTGGCCAGCACCACGCCCGGCCGCCTTTGACTCCCCAGTGGCGATGTTTACACACCACACCAGGTACTCATTTGAGGCTGAGTCCACCTAGGTGAGGCTCAGTAACCAAATCAGATAATCGTCACTGTTGTTGGTCGTGAGTGGGAATCGTACTGTCCCACAGTACCCACACCAAGGAACGTGTGAAATGTCTTTTGTTTTGCTTGTTGTAACGTTTTGTATGCCTGTAATGCAAGTCTCAATGTGTGGCAGCTCATCCATGTCTCCATGTTTGTCTCTCTCTGTGTGTGTGTATGTGTCTGCTCGTCTTTGTTTTGTCTCGTTTACAGGACTATTCAAGAATATAGTTGGATAATAATTATGTTTGTTAACACCACTGAGTTTATAAAGGTTGACATCAAATGGCTGCAAATAATGTTGTTTTCATAATCGAAATGAAGGCAGTAAAATACTCTGAAGCAGATGGTCGTGAGCTAAATAATTCCATGTGCTAAAGGTAGCCATGAATGTACACGTCAACCTCCCTGGGGTAGCTGGATAGCTTAGGAGCCTAATACCATATCAGATCACTGTTTATTTTCTGCATCGCAAGAGTCCACCGTTGAATTTTGTACGCGCGAAATAATGTTGGCTTATTGCACGAGTGACGGGAATGTGAAACACGTAAACATTTTTTAAAATTAAAATTATACTTTTATATAAAACATTTCAAATTATCAAAGGATAATTTAATCATGTTCTAACTGTTTTGTTACCTTGGCCAGATATTATGTGCGCATTATTGCTTACAAAAGCTAACAAAGTGATCTTTGTGTGGGTGGAATGTTAGTATATCTAACTGCTGCACCATCTTTTACATTTCATCAAACAACAAACGAAGAAGTTGAAATAACATAGAATGTAAGCTATTACTTTTCACCCACATTGACCATATCAGGAACTAAATTAGACCAACACGTTAGAAACCATTTATTTGTAACATTTTTCATGTTATAATTACAGCAAAAATATTTTTTTTTATTGGATTTTGCTAAGTATTGTGCTTTCTTAAAAATGTATACATCTTCTATGCAGAGGCAAATCTCAGGCTATTGTCCTGGGAAATATCACATGAACAGATGCCACCGACAGATTTCGTGTGGTGCTTGCGATCCCCACAATAGTGTAGTGGCCTTATTGACGTCGGAGACTGTTCATTGGAGGCAACACGTATTTATTACAGACGCTTCAATTACAGTGGCGAATCTGATACTTGAAGAGGTAACGGCCTCCTCACCCGTACTCTACAGAGGGAACGTTCCCCGAGCTTTAGCCCACGCTAGCTCCCTGGTTCCCTCTATCCTGGTCCTCTCTCAGGAGGCTCTCTGACCTGGCCCAGCTTCGGCGCAGGTCCCGATCACCAGCCACACGAGTCCGGCCCTCAGAAGGACATGGGGCCTCGTGGCTCTGTATGTCGCACACCCTGGCTTGCTTTTCCCGGCCCTCAAAAGGACAGCGGGCCAAAGGAGTTCCAGGGCCTGGCTAGTCGATCTTCTTTCTTCACTGGCTCTTCATCTTGCTTGAGTCGAACTCCCCCTCAGCTCTCCGGGTCCCACCCTACAACCGCGTGTCACCCTCCCGTAACACCTCTACAATAGCATCCACACACACGTGACCTTCACTGACTCTCCAAACTTTGTGTTTGCTGCATGCTGCGGCATGGCCAGGTGTTTTCACGAGAATATCTCTCTGGTGTGAATTCGGCTGGTACCCCGTGTTGCTCGGCACGATGTTGGTCATTTCGCTCTAAGAATTGCTGGCAACAGCTTCTTCAGGTAGCAGAAGGCCTTAAAGAAGCCCTGAAGAAGTTTCAAGCCGTGTGGAGGAGAAACGTCAGAAATCAGGCGGAATATCACGCTGCACGACCCGAAAACACAGAGCAGCACAACCGCGAAGACACAGGCATCAGGGTGCTTGATGATAATGTCTATTCGAGTCTGGCTGATGCAGCTTTGTAAAAAAAAAAATTGTTGGTTCGGGGATATCTTGCGCGGGTGCCAGCCGGACGTTTGGCGAGCTTCTTCACTCGCCTGTTCGTTTGTTCGCTTGTGCAGATGGGTCAGGGCGAGTATTTTGGCTCGCTGGAGTGCAGCTCGCCCGAGTGGAGGGACGGTGGCCGGTCCGACTGCCGCGTGCTGAGCGTCACCACCGAGTCGCCCTGTGAGCTGATGCGGGTGTCTGCCAGCGAATACGTCCGCATGCGGGAGGTGCAACTCTCGCATGTACACACGGGCGCGAACGATTTGGATGCATCAAGCATATCACTGGATGCTACCATGATGTAATATCTGGAGGTCGCCGGTGTTATCCCCCCCCCCCCCCCCCCCCCCCCCCGCTGTACGAGTTACAACAATGGTGCATTTTAACCCCCCGCTCCAGCTCCTCCATTGCCTCTTGTCTGCCCAGCATAGTAAATTGATCCACTGCAATTCGTCAATCGACAGGTCACACGCGATGGGGTAAAGTGTGGGTACTCGCACGTCATCACAATATCTTTGGCCAGCGGAGAAAATTCGGCCAAATGCCGTGTCAGTCATGTGGATTTTTTTTTACCATACTTCACCGTGCTGGTCAGTGCGGGTTCGTGAAGTAGTGAGGGGGTTAGGGCAGGACTAGTTCTGATGACTCGGTATTGGCTTTAGCCGTGGCTGGGAATCGAACACAGGTCACCTGGTTCATAGCTCAACTCACTAACAACTGCGCCACCGCTCCCACCTCCATGTAATGGATATGCATAAAAACACGTGTCGCATACCAGATACGATGCACAATTTCCAAATCTAACTCAAAATAATTTCTAATAATAAAAAATGGGTCAAAGCTGAAGCGAATCCAAACCATTACGCTTAAAATTCAATTTGCACGTTTTCAAAATTTTATTAATTTAACGGTCACAGAAGCACAGCTCATTCAAATTATTTTCCTTCACGTGTCATAAGTGATTTACAACCTTGTCTCGCTATCCCTTTAAAATACGAGGCATCTAATCAAGAAAAACTGTCATCTCTGCAAAGACGATTTTTGCACGCCACCTAATTATCATGTAATAGATCATAGAGCACGGGCAATCAACATTCAGATTCGGGATCCTCTATAGAATTTGAGAAATGTGTCATCTACCTGTACATAATTTAAATATTTAGTACGTGCAAAAAATGTAATACACACATTTATACGTTGACTTTTATCTCTCCAACATGTTTGTGGGTTAATGCTGGGTGCTGTTTGGCATGTTGTCCGATGTCTGACTTCACATCCTCGGACCTATTTCAGAAATTGAACGGTGTTCCTGAAGAAGTTCCACATTATCCACGGGGGCATGGGCGGATTGTGAACCTTGCTATCATCTACCAGGCTTCTCTCTCGAATACCTATGTTCTATTCAAAACAAAAATTACAGTATATTTACTTTACCAGGTAAGGCTCAAGAGGTTCCATTGGAGTGCTGTAATCTTTGGCAAAAATGTATCTCCTTAAACAATTAAAACTGTTATCAAATTAAAACTATTATTTATTATCCCTCACAGAAAACAAAACGATTTAGTTTTAATATCAATACTGTATTAATACTCTATCAATACTATCAATACTGCCAACACCAACAATGATGCTTATTGCCAAGCTTATATGCAATGGCTGTGTCATCAAGATGTAAATCTGGTCATGATAGAAAATTCATCTATTGCAAAAATGTTTTTTTGTAACTTAAATAACACACAGCAGAGTTCCGAGAACTTACACCATGCACAAATGAATGGCCACTCTTTGTGCCAATCAATCTAAGTAAAAATAACGAAATGAATGTGTGTGGAGTCTCAATTTGGAAGATAAATCTATCCTTGTACAGCTTATTTGATTGCCATTTTTAGTTTCCTCTACTGGCTTAGTGGGAAAAAAAAAAACTCTTTGATCACTGTTGGGAAGCAATAATGCCACCTGGAAGTTTCTAAGTCCTTTGAGTCTTACACCGAATTCAATAATGATGATTGAGAACCCACGGGAAATGTAGGCCACTGCCCACTTTCACTAAATGAAAGGCACTTTGTTTTTTAGAAACGAAGAAACCAGTAAAGACTTTTAACTTTTTTTTTTGTTCATGGCCATTTGACTGCAGTTATGCAATCTAGCGTGAGTTCAGTGGTCTAATTTTCCAAATGCATTATAACCTCTTTAAATGACCACAACGGTGATCCGACGAAATGGAAAGTTAACACCCACCTTTTTTAACGTCAGATTTATATTAAGGGCTCCTAATACACTTCTGTATTCAATGTACATGGGAATTAATAACAATTCAAAGTTAAGTCACTTGTAATTTCTCCATGACTGCAAACTGTTGTGATTCTAACCGATCAGGAACTATAATGTCATGATATACAGGGCACTCAAAAAAATGTTAACACTTCCGAGAATTTGCAACAATACCACGTCATATGTGCTGCTGCCTCCGGTCTCTGGAGACCACCTGGAGAAGATTCCAGGCCACGTGTTGACAACGATGGCGAACAAGTGGAGACTTTGACTTTTTGAAGCTAGTAACATACGTTTGTTATCATGTTACAGTGTATCATCCGTTCTTTTCCCATTTTAAACGCTCGCCCTATGTAAGTGTTAACATTTTTTTGGAGCACGCTGTATTAAAGGATATATTTCACGAGAACCCGAGAGAAGAGAGCTTCTGTTTCTCGAGAGAATCGTAAACATGATTAGAGTTAGAGCCACTCACCCAGTAGCTTAAAGTGAACTATGAGATGAATTTAGTTATTATGGGACATGATTTACATTTACAAATGGCGATAGATTAACCTTGATACAGACACCTCTGATGCCCTGTCTGTCCCTCACAGAAAACAAATTTAGCAGGAACGGTATCTATAGAATGGCTTGTGAGAGAGATGGTAATTGTGCTTTGGAGTGTGATGCAGTGGGACGAACACTTGAAGGTCAACCTGTCTTTATGTATGCATGCCAATATCTCTCAGTTCCACATCAGACATGGACACAATGGATTGCAACAGCATTTAAACTGACACCCACATTTTTTCGTGATTTTCCCTACCATTCCTATACTTTGCATTCCTATCGTGTTTTTTTGTATTGTTTGTTGTTGTAACTTTATGACCAGCCCAACTGGACATCTGCAAAAAAAGAGCTTCATAGCTCATCGGATTCCTCCAGTACAAATAAAGATTCAGATTAACCATATAAAGCAATTTGAAACTCTCATCTGTTATTTGCATGTCCGCTGCCTGTTCATCATAAACTTTAATGGCACTCGGTGAATGGAATGGTGGAATTAAATCTGACCGTTGCATGTGGGCAGCGCATTGCGACGCAGGATCGCATGGCCAAGAGGAGTTTGATCCAGGCCTGCCCTGGATATGAGGACTGGCCTGCGCTTCCCATCGCTCACTTGGCTGGTCTCCTCCATTGGAAAACCATCCCGCCCCAACACAGTGCGTACATCTGCATCCTGAAGACATCCCATGGGAATGGTGCAGTGGTTTGTGCAACGCACTTCAGACCTGATGCCCTGCATTTGTTTTATCCCAGGCCATCGTTACAAGCAGTGATGAGTGGCATCCGAATCTGTGTTGAACCTTCTCACCCCCCCCCACCAAACACCACCCAACACTGACTTCAACAACCTGCACTGACCAACATGGTGAAATATGGGCATGCAAATCCCATAGCCAACATGGCGTCATAAAAAAAACATGTATATTTGGCATCTCATGACGTAAAGCATCTCTAGACACTGTACAGTAACAACTATTTACATCATGGGGAAGGAGGCAATCATCCAACAGTAGATTGACAAAGGCTCTAAGTTATATTCATATTATACCAACGGACAACGAATCTCAATGCACACTCATATGGTTAAATACATTTCATCAATCAAATTCAAATGCCAGCTCCTCCAAATGCAGGCTCTGGGTGCTGCACTGTGGTGCCATTGCTGGGAGTAAAAAAGGGTTAAACTTTATACGCTCGTCCTCCTTAGGGGTGATGAGTAGTTGTGGTTCCAATTTAATAGCATCTCATTTGCATCTCACTGCCAGAGATCGCTAATTGGTTTGTCGGCTATTATAAGCCTCGATGGTGCAAACCAATTTCATCTGCCTTATTATAAAACAGCAAAGTAATTACAGTCAGTTATAACATGGCCATTGTATTTGATGGAGGAACATGTTGATTCACGAGGCAGTAAGCTGCAGCTAAATAACTTTTAGAAATAAGGAGGCGCTCTAGATTTTGATATTGTAGAGCCCATTTAAAGCAGCACATCTAATGTGATTTTGTTCACGGGGGTGCTTTGGTTTGAATTCAGCAGCCTTGGGCAATTATATTTAGTAAAGTGCTAATTATTTTACTATATTAAGCTTATTACAGTATGGTAATTTTGTAACAGCCTCTACCCGTCACGTGCGCGCAGCGGTTTCCATCCTCCCACACAGTGCGAAAAGATGAGTGAGTCACGTGACATAGAACACACCTACGTACACCATTCACAATTATCGCGCTCAAAAGTATTTCACAATGCGAACTGAAGTGACGAACGTGACCTTAAACCCACACATTTCCAGTGACTTTTAATTCCATGTTGTACAAACGTATGCATTTCAGTTCGCTTTCGCGAACCAATATCATCCATAATACGTTTTTTTTTTAGATTAGATCGCATGAACATAAATGTGTTGTTAAACCCAACACAGCTAATTAGTAAGGTTTGTCATGTAAACAGAACATGCCAATTCGTTAGTAGTACAGCACACCGGTGTTTTGGAGAGTACATCCACAACATTTACAATCTGAGTACGCCGTTTCGCCAGTAATTACAACTAGCTTCATCAGGCGACAGCCAGATTTGTGGATAAATCCTCATGCTTCGTTCCTTACATAGATAAAAAAAGCCTGCATTATGGATCATATATTTAATCTTTTGCGAGTAGAAGTAAATTATCACCAGCAGCCATTGCCTATCCACTGCTGGATGAAGGCCGCTCCACAACTTTACATTCTACCATCGACCTCACTCCTGCATGTGAATGGACCAAAACAAAAATACCGAAGTAAACAACTTTACAATAAAACCTTCTATACGTTCCCTTGTTCCAGTACATTGTGGTCTGGCACATTGTAAGCCTGTCAGTCAGGTGGGGTTTGTGTGACTGTGGATAAGCCCCAGTGATCTAATGATGAACAAAACAACTCCCAGTCGGCTTGAAAGTCTGCACTTCATATGCTCCATGGCCTCCCTAGCTTCCCTCCTCTTTGTAGCTGACTCGCTGCCTTCTATGTCCCAAATCGAACGGCTCTCAACTTTGCAAGCCGACCGTGAGCCTACATAAGTATCATGGAGTACACGTTGTTTTTTTTGATGGAGTGCTTTCAGGCGTGCACCTCCACTGTGATGACGCAAGTGAAAGCTTCTGTCTTGGAGATTGTTCTCCTGAAGGGGCATGGAACTGTGCCAGTTCTCACGCTGCAATCCCTGATCCAGCGCCACTGAGACCGGGAGATCACTGATCCTGAAATCAAATCTAAAAGTGTTGTTTCATGCGCAGCGTAGTGGCTTGCGTATCTTATCACCAAACCTTCACAACGATGCATTTGTATCATGTACTCTGCTATCATTGTGTTCACCGAATGCAAATGTGCATTATTATTTTTAATTGTTTTTACTTTTGTTGCTTTTGTTGTCTTGTGAATGTCGCGTAAATACATTTTGCATTTAGGCTTATAATCAGGTAGAATATTTTTCATTTATGTAAAAATATATATCATGTATGTAAAAAAAATATATATACTCATAGCATCTTGCTCAGATATACTACAAAATAACCTCATCCATTATTACGTTCCACTATGCTCTAGCGACGCCAATATAAATTTCAGTGCCAGGCCTTTATTCACTATTTGCTTGCACCCCTGCCGGGTGTCTGCCCGTCTGTGTGCTCAGTGATAGTGAGACAGGGGGAGGTCTCTCCCTTCGCAGAGTACATCCACTCGGGCTGCTGCGACGTGCTGAGGCAGGTGTCTCACTGTAACAAGGTATGGTCCCGCCGCGTCTGCTCACACCGTTGTGCTGTATAGCTCTCTCTAATGCGTGTTCAGGTTGTTCGGTGTGACGTCTGACGTTTCACCGCACGCGCCTGGAGCTTACTCGGGGAGTAAATGTTCAATTCCAAACATTCAGTGCTGAAAACACATGAAGAAGATAATTGTACCATCCCTTGCTTAAGCCTTGTTCGCATGACTACGCGGCTCTGGCCCAGGAAGAGGCCAAGAACGGCTCAACGAATGACGAATGAGCCACTTCGCTCAAGAAGTATTGGTGCTTCGCGGGCTCAGCCTCTGTTTGATCAATCCTTATAGCCCCATTCATTTCCATTACTGGTCGTAGAGGGTTGAAAATAGAGCGACAACAGCCCCGCCTACTTTTATTTGCCACACCCACTCAGTCACTAGCCTCGCCCACACTCTATCTGACATTGGCTCCACCTACTTCTCATAGGCACCGCCCACTACTCTGGTGGCCCACACCCTCTGCCTGCATCTTGAATGGAGCATGAGGTCAGAACATGATTCCCGTCCAACATTAGGAAACCACTGGAGCTTTGTATTTTTACATCTATATTGAAAACTCAATTCTTTAGAACGCTTTTTGTGATTAGTTTGTTGTCCTTCCCCCCACACCTCCGATTAGCTTGGTTCGCTACGTACGCTGCAAAATAAGTTAAACATACACTCGTACGTAAGGTGCGATAGAAGTTCAACATAATACAACATTTTAAACTGGGACAAAACTCAGATTTTCAGTAATGCTCTTGAGACTCGGGGACAACCTTTCTGAAAACAGGACAGTCTCAGGCTTTAACAGAGGAATGCATTTGGCTGCACAGTTTTTTCGTTGTAAAATTATATATTTTTTATGTTTTGCGGTGTACATTTTTGTTTTACGCAAACACGGCTGGGAAGCTGACCTAAGTGAGAGTCTTGGCACATGCCGCTCGTTTCGCCGTGGCTTCATGACTTGCTCTGGGATGGGTACAGGGAAAAAAATGCAGTTATACATTTGTGTATTTATAGACAATTCCAGCAGTGCAGTGTTTGGAATGGATCGGGATGGTTTTAACCAGGACGGGTTGCTGTGTGGTTGTGTGTTGTAGGGCCTGGCTCTGTTAGAGTAAAAGTGCTATCACGAGTTATTATCGCAACGTGGAGATTGATGCCCTCATGGAAACAAGGCATCGCTCACCATGACCGTTACCGCACACAGCATCTGGCAAATGGGCTCTGTATGCCTAAGGTGTCTGTATTAATTTTGACAATTCTATGAGCGGCGAGTAAGCTGACAAAAGCGTTTGCGTCATCCTCAGTGAACTCGTGTTTGAATTCTGGTCATGATTCCAACATGAGCCTCCCGTATGTTGACTCCCTCTAAAATATATGCTTGGCGCAGTGTATAACCATTAAAAGTTAAACAATTCAGTCTCACCCCCAGAAATTCCCTGAATTGTCACGATTCAGGGTCACAATTTGATTCAAAAATATATATTTTTCTAGAAAACATTGCAGTGAATATGGAAGCCACTACCCAATGGCGGAGCCAGGATTTTCAGGTAGGGGTGGCAACCCCTCCAGCAATGAAAAATCATAGAGGAGTTGTTAGTGAGTAAGGAGTTGTTAGTAAGTAAAGAGTTGTTAGTAAGTAAGGAGTTGTTAGTAAGTAAGGAGTTGTTAGTAAGGAGTCGTTAGTAAGTAATGAGTTGTTAGTAAGGAGTAGTTAGTAAGTAAGGAGTTGTTAGTAAGTAAGGAGTTGTTAGTAAGGAGTCGTTAGTAAGTAAGGACTTGTCCCTTGCTTTTTATTAGACACGTGTGTGGCGATGGCACAGCCATCTATCGAGGATCGAATTAGAACCACGTTCTCTTTGGTTCTATTCGGTAAAGTCACATAGGTAAAAAATAAAGTAACAAAAATCACGACGTTTCGGCCACAACACAAGTGGCCTTCATCAGGTGAAGGGACCGTGCTGTCATGAGGACAGCGTTGGAGTGAAAACAGCCAAGCCCAGGTCACGTCCTTTAAGCTGTGTGGGAGGAAGCATGATGTACGTAGGAAGTGCATGGGCCATGATGGACCAGCAGCGGGTGGGGACCATGACGGACCAGCAGCGGGAGGGGGAGGGGGAGTGAGTGAGTGGAGTGAGTGAGTGGAGTAAGTGAGTGGAGTAAGTGGAGTGAGTGAGTGGAGTGAGTGGAGTGAGTGAGTGGAGTGAGTGGAGTGATTGGAGGGAGTGGAGTTGGTGGAGTGAGTGAGTGGAGTGAGTGGGTGGAGTGAGTGAGTGGAGTGAGTGGAGTGAGTGAGTGGAGTGAGTGGAGTGAGTGAGTGGAGTGAGTGGAGTGAGTGGAGTGAGTGAGTGGAGTGAGTGAGTGGAGTGAGTGAGTGGAGTGAGTGGAGTGAGTGGAGTGAGTGAGTGGAGTGAGTGAGTGGAGTGAGTGAGTGAGTGGAGTGAGTGAGTGGAGTGAGTGAGTGGAGTGAGTGAGTGGAGTGAGTGAGTGGAGTGAGTGGAGTGAGTGAGTGGAGTGAGTGAGTGGAGAGAAATAAGCAGCTGTGAAAGTTTGGGATACCACTACTTGTAAAAAATGTACTGTACCATTGAAAATTTGTTTAATGTTTGGTTTGATTTAGAACACCTTTCCAATGATTGCTTAATTTGAAACCATCCTCTCGGTTGAAATTGTGTCTGTGTTTGTAAATCTGAATTGCCTCGTGGACAAATCTCTGATAAAAAGCCCGTGGGTTTGCAGAGAACCTTGGTATCGGAGAAAACTATATCGTGATCACCCACAGCGTTGTAACAGTGGTCAGCTACGGCAGAAGAATTCGTTCTGCCGTGTTTCAAATCTGATTTGTGCTTGCGAATTCGGTCAGAGACATGTCGCTTCGTCTCCCCGATATAGCAATCACCACAAGTGCAGCTCAATTTGTAAACCCCGGGGTACTGTAAGTCAGGAACGACATCCTTCATGGATGGGATCAGGTCACGGATTTTGTGTACTGTATTGAACCGGACCAGGATCTTGTGTTTTTTTGAATTTTGGAGATCTTTTTAGTAACGCCTGCTATATATGGTAGTGTGATGGTTTTGACCGGAGTATCAAGTGATTGTTTCTGTATGGAGGGAGAAACAGCTTGGCGGATGGTACGGTCAGAGTATCCGTTTCTTTTGAGGGCCAGCTGTACATGCTTTAATTCACTGGTCAGGTGGTGTTGGTCCGAAATGCAATGTGCCCTGTGGTATAACGTTTTGATGAGAGAGTTATTTTGAGCTGGGTAGTGGTGGGAATCAGGTTTCAAGTAGGAATCTGTGTGGGTGGGTTTCCTGTAGACAGAATGCCCCAGTGAGCCATCAGGTCTCCTCTCAAACAGAACATCCAGAGATTTGTCCACGAGGCAATTCAGATTTACAAACACAGACACAATTTCAACCGAGAGGATGGTTTCAAATTAAGCAATCATTGGAAAGATGTTCTAAATCAAACCAAACATTAAACTAATTTTCAATGGTAAAGTACATTTTTTTCAGGTAGTGGTATCCCAAACTTTCACAGCTGCTTATTTCTCTCCACTCACTCACTCCACTCACTCCACTCACTCACTCCACTCACTCACTCCACTCACTCACTCCACTCACT